GCTATCAGAGTCCAGCAATCAATGTGACTGCAACAGGACAAGCTACCGATATTCTGAGCAGGCATTCACGTTTTGCATATGAGCATCTGTTAACAAACGTGATTTTGCAAAGATGCCTTTCCTCTATTGTAGTCAGGAAAGAGAAGCATAGAGCATTTGAGAGTTCACATTCATGTTCCCAGCATTTAAGAAGTTACCATTCACCAAGTGCAGAAGGCTGGAGGGTCAGAGCTCATGCCAGATGTGAAACATGTCCATGGAAATTTATCACTGGGATGTTAATCTTTTCCAAGGCACAGAAAAGATATAGGTACAGTGTTCGAAGACAAAGAGGGGGTTGAAGTGAGGTTTCTTCTAGCCTCTATGTGGAGCAAGATCTTCAGATGTGATGTACTTGCCTATTGTTCTAGTGTCTCAAGACCTTCACAACCTGCTTTCCTTAAAGAATGGGCTATAACAGTCATTACCACAGTTCTACAGAAGATGTAATTAAACACACAGAGACTAAGTAGAGCTCCATGAAAGGGCATAGCTTTGAATTCAGGTTTCCCTGAACTGCCAAGGGCTGAAAATCCAGCCATTAGAGTAACAGCTCAAGGGGGAAGAAAAATAAAAAGAACAAATATAAAAATAGTTAATTTATAATTTGGATAAATACATTTGCATTTGTTTCCTAGAAATGAAGGACTCCAAGAGACAAAAAGCATTACCTTAGGTGATTAAAAAGTATGTGCATATGTCCAGGTTCTGTAGGTGTGCATGATACTTTCCAAACAAATTGAAGAATTGAATTCTAAGTAATTAAGAGATGAGTAGGGTGAGATACTATAATGAACTTCAAGGTACCTTTCCTGCAAACTTGACTGATGCTTTCTTTTCCAGACCATCCTTGGTATTCAATGTGAGCTACAAAAGCAACTCCGAAACTTTATATCCTTGGACCAACTTCCTATGACACCCAGGTATAGTGATGGCAAGTGTTCTGAAGGAGTGAAGCAACTGAGATTTGCAGCTGTTCCTTCAGTATTTGGAAAAGGCATCAAATTTGCTATAAAGGACGGTATAGTGACAGCTGACATTATCGGGGTGGCTAACGAGGACAGCCGGCGCATTGCTGCCATCCTCAACAACGCTCATTATCTGGAGAATCTGCATTTCACCATTGAGGGCCGGGACACCCATTACTTCATCAAGCTGGGCTCTTTGGAAGAAGATTTGGCCCTGATTGGCAGCACCGGAGGGCGCCGCATCCTGGAGAACGGCGTCAACGTGACGGTGTCGCAGATGACGTCGGTGATCAATGGCAGGACTAGACGCTTTGCCGACATCCAGCTCCAGCACGGCGCGCTCTGCTTCAACGTGCGCTATGGAACCACGGTGGAAGAGGAAAAGAACCATGTCCTGGAGATAGCCAGGCAGCGAGCTGTGGCTCAGGCCTGGACTAAGGAGCAGAGGCGGCTGCAGGAGGGGGAAGAAGGAATTCGGGCGTGGACAGATGGAGAGAAACAGCAGCTTTTAAGCACTGGGCGGGTACAAGGCTACGATGGATATTTTGTTTTATCTGTGGAGCAGTATCTTGAACTTTCTGACAGTGCCAATAATATTCACTTCATGAGACAGAGTGAAATAGGCAGAAGGTAACAAAGAAAATCTCTGCCTTTGCGTCACCAAAGACTGCCTGTTTTTAAACGTAAAATGGTTTATTGTATTGGTTTTTCTAGATCAGAACTCTGTATATATAAATATAGAGGAAAAAACATATCCAACTGCCTTTAAATGTGACAGAAGATGGTATTTTAATATCGTTTGTTTAACTCTTTGAGAGATGACAGTGACAATTTTTAGTTCTTGTGTGGCAGTATTCAAAAATTTCAGAAGCAGAGTCCTGCGAGCCGAGCGGCGCGACCTGCGTGCGAGGTGCCCAGGGTGACACCGCACAGCCCTGCAGGGTAGGGGCGAGTGCCACATGCTCTGCCTTCTCCTAAAGAAACACAAACTTTTTGTTGTTGATTTATAATTCACCAGTTATTTAAATGGTTACAGAGCTTGATTCTGCAACCCTTATTTACTGGGTGTCTTTTATCCCAGTGAGATCTCCCATAAGTTCAAGGGATTGCATACAGAAACCAGACTGTGTATGGAAACTTCCCAGCTGCTCACCAACCCCACACATGTTCCTCACAGTTAAAAGCTAAGGGATTTTCTAACCTGGGAAATCTGGCTTGGGTTGGATTCGGTACGTACAAGGATGTTCTTGTGGCCTTTGCTCAGCCGCGGCCACCCCTCAGCCGCTCCATGCTGAACGTCACATTGTGGCCACTCGTGCATGTCAGGCCTCTCTCCCAGGGTTTTCCTCAGCACTGGGATATACGAGGCTCTGGCAGCGCACACAGAGCTCTGCCAGTCTGTTTGGTGGCTTCAGACAGAGATGGGGTGGCTAAAGCAGGCTCAGTGGGCACTGTAGTCTTCAGGAGGCTCTCCAGTGGTATATGTGCTCCAGGCTGGGCTTTAACCCAGTGCTTTGGGGATGCCCCAGCTGGGAGCCCTCACGGAGCAGTGTCAGGCCATGCATCATCAGTCCTGTCCATAGTCACTGGGCCAGGACTTGTCTTCACACAGATGATTTGGAAGGTGCAGTGTTGTTGGGTTTAGACATCACATTCTTTTCATCTCAGATTAATAATCCTGTTGTAGTACTCATTTTTTCGAGTCTGAAGAAGATTGGTGGGTTGGGAGTTGATGAACATAAGTGTGGATAGTAAATATGTTGATAAACATAGAACATTTCGGGGATGACTCTTCACTTTTCAGCTCAATATCTAGAGCACATAGAAAAGCATTATATTGCATGAACAGAAATTTTTATTTCCCAAGGTAACATGCATTACTGGCACAGTTACTTCATAGCAGAGTAGGTGATCCTTCCTCCAGTTTGTCATTTTTAAAAGACCTGATTTTCAGGAGGTGGGCTGGGCACACAGGGAGGGGGGGACGGGCAAGCAGCTTTACAGAGGGATCTAGAAGTCTTGTTATAGAGCCTGTGTATCTGTAACAGTGAAGTTATTGCACATTTCTTTCAGAACAAATGTAGTAAATATATTGAAATAGTTTCTGCTCATATTTGCAGAAGCCAACAAAGTACATTCTTTCTTTCTTTTTTTCCCCCCAGTTTTCTTTTTTCATTTGTTTTTGGCAAGTGGAGCAGACTGTACCAAAGTTAGAGATGAGCCTGAAATGGCACCTGAGATCTGAGCCCCTCCCTGGAGTTTGAGCTCAGGTCTCAGCCTCAGCCCATTACCGTCTCTTCCCAGATTCCTTTTGCTCCCCTGGGAGCCAGCACAGCTTTGGGGGTGCAGGATCAGGCTGAGTGGGAGCCTGGCCCCTGCAATCCTCCTCTGTCCCCAGCCAGGGGGACCTCTGGACCAAAATCTGTACATACACATTGTGATCAGGCTCATCATTAACTAATGTACAGAAAAGGGAGCTGGCCACATCCAGATTTGACAGCTCAGATTTTTGTAATTTTCCATAAAATCATGGAGAATTTGAATACCTCCACACCAGCCTAAAAATGGACCTTCAAATCCTTGAGCCTCTAATACACTTTTAATCAAGGGAAGAATAATTTATGAATTGTATATAGAGAGTGCATTCATAAATGTGATGATGTATTTTATCACTGATCCAAGATGTCAATATTAGAGTCTATTTTACTTATATTTTAAGCAATTATACTTTTTTGCAATTCACTAATGAGGATCATTTTCAAACTGCTTTAAATATCCATTATAAACAAATATTTGGAGCTATTAGAGTTATCTTGAACAGTGCATTTCTAGTATGTAATACATATTTAGTTAGCTTGTGCCTTTAGTTTCTTAAAGTTATATTTGTATTATATGCAGGAAATGCACTTTGTATAACTTACAGCTGTGGTTTTTAATACTGCCTTGATTACTGTTGTTCTCATGTTATGCCAAAAGGTCAAAGAGTTAAATGTGTTAAAAGTTTGTCTTTGAAAGTAGATTTGGCATTTTCCCATTTCCTGGGTGCAGTCTAAGGTACATTTTGAACAATATTTCTTATGAGAATATGATTTCATTACAACTCACATGACATTACATGGCCCAGTTACAAAAGCAAAAAAATGCCTTCGTCATAACAGTTCCTTAAATTTAGGAAACAAAATATAAATGTTGTGTTGAGATGACAGTGCTCAATAAATAAGTTATTGCTGAGAGAGCAAGCATGGGAGATTGAAGTCATATCACAGCTCCACATGGGCCAGCCAGTGGTGATTTATAAGAACTACATGAACAAATAGCTTTGGACCATCTTGTTCATCAACAACCTCAGATGGAGGTAGGGAATATTTCAGTCTCCATTTCTTTTTCCTGAGTAGTTAGGGCAATTTCTCAGTGGGTTTGGGGTTTTTTTACATAGTTCTCGGTTTTTTTTTAATTTTATATTTTGCACTATAACCTAGAGACCCAATTGAGAAAAAAGAAAAACAATAGCATGGAAATTTTTACTGTTATTTAGATCAGATAATTTGATGCTAGTATTCTGCACTACAAATAAGGCTCTGAAAGAGGGAAAAATAAAATAAAGTAATTAAAATAAAGTATAAAGTAAAAATAAATAAAATCCACTATTGCACACTATCCTGTAGCAAAGTATGAGAAATACAGGCTATATTTTTTATGACCGCCAAACAAATAGTGTGTACAAGTAACATTTCCTTTGCTTTCATATTTATTTAGTAAATCTAGAACATTTCAAAGTTATAAATATATATATATAGATATCTACGTAGAACATAGCCAAATAAATATATATGAACTGGTCAATGTGCAAGTGGGTATACACACCTTGGCTCTTTGGTTTGAGCTCTCCTGCATCCCTCAGCGGGGCACTGGGCAGAGATGGCCTCGTGCTGGGCTGCCACCCTGCACCCCCTGCCCACGGAGCCCCCGGCAGTGCCCAGGCTGGGCCGCGGGCAGCAGCTCCTCCCGGGTGAGCGATGGATGCTGTTGGAAGCCAAGGTGCTGTTCCAAAAGGGAGCGTGGTTAAGGCAGAGGAGCTCGAGGTTCAGCCCAGCCAAAGGAGACAGGCAGTGCCTGGGGGTGTCCGTGTGTCCGGGACGTTGGCCGGCGCGGCTGATCCGCGGTGACACCCGGGTGACACCTGGCTCAGGCTGCACCAGCAGCCCCAGGGGTGTTCCCATCAAACGCTAACCCTTATTCAAACCTCTCCTTGATACAAAACATTACCAGGCTGAAAGCACCCTGACTGCCAGAGGAATCACTTCCAGGCAGAAACTGGGAATGGTGGAGTTGGACTCTCTGTGGATTTGTCTGGGCATTTGTCACCTGCCATTATTTGTCTAAGGAAACGTGTTTGACAATTTCCAGTTTTTCCTTAGATCTTGTGGTGGACTTTAGCCTTTTAATAAATGTTAGTATATCAGATTGTGTCCTTGACAGTATTTTACTTGTATGAACCATGATAAAACATTAAAATCTTCATACTCTTCTGGCAGAAGTGTCAATAAACAAGAAAGAGAAGCATAGCATACAATATATGTCAAAGTAATGTTCCTTTTTAGCTTTCTCATCAACAGTAAAAAATGTTTACAATGTATGCCAAGATCTTCACTTTCTGTCTAACACCAGTTAGAGGTTCTGATCTTACAGAAATTGTGTTATAATGGCCTCAGCCTCGTTGCTAGGAAACAATAGATCCCAATTTTTTTATTCCTGCTCTAACTCCTGTGCTGAATAGTGACTGGATACTGTACAGGTTTATGTTATATGGCTGCAGTTAAATGGTCTGATGCATTTTGCTCTGGGTTTCAGACCAGAAGCATGCATTTTCTACAAGAACATCCCAGCAACACACTGTAAATATTGAAAGTTAATATATTATGTGTCGATATTTGAAAAAGAAAGTACTTTGACTATTTCATTTTTAAAAAATAAAGGTGCAAACTTATGGCATGTGATGTTGTCTTTGTTTACATCGGTTTACATTAGTATTTGAGATATTCTAGTCATGTCAGTAAAAGGTGCTTCCACAGAGCTAAATGAGGACTTCAGCCAATATTGATTGACTCAAAAGTTGGAGGCAGGATATTGCTTAGCAAGATTTAATTTTAATTCTGATTCACCAAAGTTCATGCTTATAACTCTGCAGGTTTCACTGCAGGTGAAATCCCAGACAGCTTCTGTGTAAAGATGATTATATTTCTTCAAAGCAAATGTGAGAGTGAAAAAATATTCTGTTAAATGTCTTTGCACTCATGATAACAGTGTGGGTGAAATCAATGTTGCTGGCAGTGTGAGTAGCAAAGTTTAAGTGTTCTTTAGCAAAGTGCATGTTCTTTAGAGCTGCCTCAAATAGATGATGATGAATGATTCTGTTATGAAAAGTATGTGCCCAGGAAAATAAAAGCCCAGTACAAGCAGCAGAGAGAAGGAGCAAATGAATGGAGGGGCACAAGGAACGCATAAGGCTAAAGGAAAGGTTACATGGTGAAAAACCATGGAACAGCTGGGCTGGGCAAGAACCAAGCAGGAGGGCTGAGGCTGTGCTGGGTGGATGAGAAGGAAGCGATGCCAAAGGGGTGGGTGCTCCAGTAGAAAAGGGAAGAAAACCAGCCTGGGATATTGTACTGATGGAGTGCTGCAGGAGGGCTGTCACAGCCGTAGGCAGGGACAGGGGAGGGCTTAGTGGAGGCAAAGCCAGAGCTGTGGGAGCCTCAGCTGCTGCAGAGGAGCAGCACTGGGGAGAGGGCCAGAGCAGGGGCAACACATTGAGCTACAAAGCCACTTGCAGATCTGGGGCTGTGGCAGCGAGGGGACAGGGGTGGGAGGGCTGGAGGGGAACATGGCAGCAGCGAGGGGCTGTGCCCAGTGGGGCTGCAGCCTGAAGGAGATGGTGGGAGGGAAGCAGTAGGTGATACTGATATCATGTGGAAAGTCATACTGGCAAAATGAATGCAGCTGCTGCTCTCTAAAAGGATCTGTAGCTCTTCACACCTAAGTCATTGTAGGAAATCAATATAATTTCCAAATTACTGTTCCCATAACCAAGCATCTACTTCTTGTCTCACAGGCACCACCAGCTTCTCTCTGTCTCCACCTTGTTTAAGCCTGCAGCAATTCCAGACCCTTGGGTACCCAAAAGAAACAATACAAGCCTCTGTCTTAATAATTTACACCAGAAACTGAAACAACATTCTCGGCTTTAAACAGAAATGGCATCTTCTGGCCTATTTTATGTATTTTTTAGAAGAACAATGCACTTCTGGAGTCAACCACAGTCAAACCAGTTATCCTCGGCTCGCTGCACTGCAAAGTGGGTGAGCAGCTGCTGCTTGTGTGCTGCAGGTTTTCCACATGCAGCCTCAGCCTCAAGTCAATATAGGACAGTTCAATAGGAAACAGCCCCTGGGCAAAGTTCTTCCCACTGCATGCATCCCTACCACTGTGCAATCATCTGCTAGGGATGATTTCCAGGCACACCTGTTCCTGCTCCCAGGAGAGGCCAGGTGAATGAGGGATTTAGAGCTAGCATTTGGAAAGCAGAAGAGCTCCCTGGGAAGGCTGGGGCTGCACACACACACTGCCAGCACCCAGCAGCTCAGCAGGCTTTGGGGAAGCGTGGTTTGCAAAGCTGGAGAGGGACTGCCAGGGACCAGATGCCGCTGGCTCACAGCAGGCTGGGAAACCTTTAAGGCAGGGAGGAGAAGGGAAAGCTTCATTGGGCACAAGTGACAGCAAACCAGCCAGTGCATTTGCTGAGTTATGTAACGATAAAAAAACAGCCTTTAAATATTTTACTAAAGAGAAAATCATGCTGGATCTGCCACTGTATGGCACTGTATTAAGGTAAGACTAATTTCAACCAACAAGCACACATACAAAAAAGGCACAGAGCAACACATGTACATGCAGTGTAAAATATGATAGGACAGTTCACCGTAGATGAAATTGGCCTTTAACTGGACAGAAACTGAGTAATGAACTGAAAACGCCTCAACCACAACTTTGCAACATTGGTGCCCACTAGTCCCTGTTGAGACGGGGCTGCTCTTATTAATTGCACTTAATTCCTATTTACAAGAAACTTGAGCTTCACAGAATATCTGCTATTGCTTGCACTGTCTCACACACTCAGAGGGGGTAAAAAGGTAAACCCTTCAGCTTTATCAAATGTGACTTGGAGCATCCACCTTGCTGAATCATGGACTTACAGCCCACATAGTTCTGTCATTGTTCACATCCAACTTGCCTTTAGTGAGGTGAAAACAAGGCAGATGTGGGGCCTCTTTCTGTGCCACCAAGCTGCAGGTGCCAGTGGCCGGTGAAATTCAGTCAGTTTTGTTCTCCCTGAGTCTGCAGCCTGGCATTTCTGGAAAAAGCCTCTTTCTCTCTTAGGAAATACTTTCAGCTTTCCAAGATCTGCAGAGACAAGTATAGGCATAAAACACAACCAGAGCAACCCAAAGGTGCCTATACAATGTTTAAGGAGTGTTTTTCTGTAATTACATATATTTTTGTAGTCCAGTTTTAATCACTGTTAGTCTTCTGCTCTGGATGGGAGCACGTGAGACTCGCATGCTTTTGGTAGTCAGGACCATTTATGTTTGTTGAAGCACAACCACTAGTGGCACAAACCAGCCATCCAGACCAGATGCATCCCCCTTGCACACGAACAAGGCTGGGCCCTAGCTGGGGTCCTTCCCAAAGCCCACAGGAATTCACACAAGCCTACCTGGCAAAAAGCCACGTAGAGGTAGTCTGGACTGTGGACAGCAGTGCAACACAACCCTATCTTCTCAAACAAGAGGGCCATAGGACACCCAAAAAAAAAGTGTTCAAAAGTGTTTCCTACTGTCTGCCAGTCCATTAGCACTGTGCCATCACACATGTTCCAGCCCAAGTGCAAAAGGCACGTCCTCTGAGTTCTCCAGTAGCCTCATGCTATCCCTGCACAGCTGATGAGTCCTCTAGATTCAAAACTCTCGTCCAGGAGCGCAGCAGCAGTATGGAAACACACAGAGAGGAAAAGAAAAGCTGTCATGCAAAAATAATTTATTTTTTAACTTGTATGCAAAGATGGCTTGTTTCAAGTACAGGGAACACCTAAAAGCAAAGAACAAGGCTTTCCACTTCATCCGGTGTTCTTGGTCACTCTGTGCATTACTTATGCTCTTGGTCATTGGTGAAAACTACAGATTTTGTTAGAGGGCAGGGCAACTGCTTTGATGGGAAATCAGTTAGTGGGGATCCTCATGGTTTCATGTCTGGAATATCTTTAGGAACTGTATGAATGACAAACACGCAGTCCATCCAAGGCAAGGACACTTTAATGTAAACATTTCTCCTAAGGTTATAAAAGGGGACTTGCCCAATTCTGCATAAATGCCAACAAGAACAAAGCAAAGCAGGATCCAAAGTTAAGCAAGGTAAAATTAATAACTAATTATTAATTAAGAACTGATCTTGAAGGGAAAAATATTTTTACTTGACAGTACAAAGGGGAAAAATAGACATAAAGGATTTAGCAGTTCATGCTTTTTTATCCTCTCTTGGGAAAAACCAAAACAAAACCAAAAAATACCCCACTGTAAGTTCAAAGTACTCTAAAATCTGAACTTCTACATCTTGAGCAATAAATTCTATGAAATACACATTTCTGCAAATGTTACAAGAAAAACTCACAGAGTTGTATTTACTATCATATAAATCATTCTGTTTTAAAGCATAGATTAGAGGAGATGCTGGAAGATGTGGTTATGTCACACTGCAGGAGACATCCTCATGATGGCTGAAGATGGAGGTCATAGCCTTCATTCCTCCCTAAAAGAAATAATCACAAATATTTGAATAGATGAACATTGTAAGAAAATGAACAGTCCAGAAGGCTCATACTTCCATGAGCAAGGGTGGTGGTGAGGGAAGGCAGCCATTGCTCCCATAGCACTCAGGAATACATATTCAAAATCCATTTTCTTATCACATTGACAGGCCCTGTCTGTAATGAGCACTTGAGTGACAGTATTTCAAATTACACGATAGCAAGGTTAAGAACACATTTTTGACCTGAACTCTGCTGGCTAGTTCAGGTCAAATATACAAGTAAGTCTAAGACCTCTATCCCTGACACTGTGGAGGGCTCTGCTCAACTGCAGCCAAGGTTTCCTCCCCCCACCAGTACCTGGAGAGTAGCTGGCTTTCATGTGGTTGACAACTGGGTTCTGCAGGGGTGTTACAATGCCTTGGTTGGGTTTCTGGAAGGCCGAAATGAGGTTGTGCACTTTCCGAAAGAGCCTCCGGTGGACCCCAGGCGCAGTCTGCAAAGCCAGAGGGGGAGAGGTGAGAAGGGGGGCTGGATACTCTGTGCTGGCACACAGGCCTTGTCCTCAGAAATGCACACAGCTCCCAGGGAAGGAGCCAGCCATGGATGTGAACCCCCTGGTGTGCCTGTTCCAGGGAGTCAACAAGCCACATTGCTCTCTGCTTTCCCCAGGGCACCCCAGCCTTACTACACTGAGCAGTTCCCAGCAGCATGGCAATAGAAAGGTGAAGAGGGACAATTTCTTAATCACTACAAGAGAAACCCACACTAATTACCCACATTCACCTGCCACACTAATTCGGCAGACTTAAAGTGACCCTTTGCTATTTCTGACCCTGACTTATTGTGATTTAACCTCCTTAACAATAACTTTCTAGCCTGTATCAGTAAGATAGTTCCATCCTAGAAACACCAGTGAGAAAATGTAGAGAGCAACCTAGGCTTACTACAGACAGGGAGTCCTCACACCACTAAATCCCAGCAAGGACACAGCCTCTTTGCAAACCCTTCTTGGAGCATTCAATGCTGGCTTATGTGTTCATTGAGTATTCCTGTCTACTTCTTGTACAGACAGCAGCCAAACGTTACCTATTTATTCAAAGTGAATTTATTCTATCTCTCTACATTAGCAATTTTTCAAACAGTATTAAATGAAACTATATGTGTTTTTAATCAAAAATACAATGTTTTTGTTAAATCCTTCAGGGTGTTCTCATAATAACTCCTCTTCACCAAAGTCAAGGGAGGATAAGCATGGGTCCTGCCAACATAGTCCCATTCAAGGAACACTGCTCTCACCCAGCAGCTGTGGGCTAAATCCAGCCTCCCTGAAACCAGCTGGAGTCTTCACACTGGCTGGGATTGCACCAGCACTGTTTTAAATTCCCTGCCTTGAAAGATGGGTGTGACCTGAGCTTGCTCAGAGACTAACCAGCCACAGGGAAGGAATCAGAAGCAGGAAAGGACCAGCTGCCTCTGGAGTCTGTTTTGGCCTTGGAGGCACATTCTGTGGGGATCAGATACAGCAGCCTAGGTCCAACTAACAGCTGAAGCCAACATGGTCTTACAACATTTACTTAATGGTTTCTGTTCCTTATGGGTTGGTATCAAGGATCTGAAACTAGGACCTTCTCCAGCAGAGGATGTACAGAGAAGCCTGGGCCTTCAGCACACCTATGGTGTGAAATTCAGGTAAGGTTTGCCTAAAATACAGCCAGGGCACCAGCACAGGCCAGACATTATAGCATGTCTATATAGCACCAGAAAACCTCACTGCAGATGCTGATGTCATCTGGGGTAAAAAGAGGCTACAGCCTCAGTCATGGAATTACCCTGCACAGGTGGAGGCCCCTGGCGTCCTGGCATTCTTCCACAGATGCCAGTGCTTACTCTGGCATGATTATTACACTGCCACCCTCACCCTGTCCTGAAAATCTTCTGTCTTGGGCACTACAAATCCTAAACCTTACATCAACATCCTGATGTCTTATAGAAAGAAATACTGGGCACTATTCCCAAGAGTCACATGGATAATTACCTACTCCACAGTAATGTCAGTCACTTCCACCCCCTGATCTGTTCTGGGAAACCCCAAGAATCAGTTTTGTGTTCCAGAACCACTTCCAATACAGTAATGGCCAAGGAACTATGCCTGTCTAGAAATTATACAATACTTGACACAAATGTTTATTAACATAAAAACAGAAAGCTAATTATGAATTAATACACAGAGTGCATCCAAAGGGAAAAAATCATAAAATAAATAGAGATTAACATCCCAATTTCATCAACCTAAATGTTGTCTGTATTACAAGTAATGTTTTTCTGCACCCAGATTACCAATTTATTATCAGATGGGTGAAAATATATTTTGTATCAAGTTTTGGCTATGTTTTGCACTAATGATTAATTAATCTGGATTAATGAATTAAAACACCGTATATTGAAAATTATTTCTTTAGTATTCTGACGTTGATGGTACACAGGATAGAAGGAAACAGATTGTGCTTGTCAAATTATAAAACCACAATATTTTTGCCATTTTAAATGATGCAAAATGATGCACTATTGCATTATGCAACAGCTGAAATGAAACGGGGAATTAATTTATGAGTTCTAGACTGTCAGAAGTGGCACCAAGACATCTTACTGATGGATGCACTCTAGATCGATTACCATCAATGAAAATCAGACTAGGCAGAAACATGAATAATTTGAATATATTTCATTAAATCTATAATCTATATCAAACAGGATATAGAAATTTTCAGAAGGGAAAGGAGAACTACACACCTCAGCACTCCAGGATCCAGTTTCTGTCTGGGACACTCTGTAGGTATAAACATAACCCTGATGCCTGTGGAAAAAAAAACAGGTATTTATTATTCATTTCTTGTGACAATTTTCATAAGAACTACACTGTTATGTGAGAATTAGCTCATCTGCTAACTTTTCCTTAAGAATAAACTCACCTCTAAAGGCTCTAGGTAGCTAAAAAAACCCACTGGCTAGATGCAGTGTTAAACCTACTGAGTTTTTTTGGGATGAGAGGCATTGGTCTGACCCAGATGTAGTTTAGCAGTATTCAGTTATCTTATATTAAATGGCGTTGCTTTTATTCCTTTCTCAGCATTTTTATGAGTTTTTTTCAGTTACATCCTTTCACTGACACACACTAGAAACACTTTTCCTGCAAAAAGAGAAGGTGTATTATTGACAGGTAGCATTACTGTTCTGTGACTCATTTAAATGCAGATGTTAACAGCAGCAGTGTCATTACTGTAATTTATTTGGAAAGCTATACCCACTATATAGCTATATAGGAGTTAAATCAGTTACTCTTTGCTTTGCCCATACGTTCCCAACTTTCATATACTGATAAAAGAGACATATAAGGGTATGGAATCTTCCTTCTTTTAAAATCAGAGTCTTTGGGGAATAAGGAGCCATAGTCTAATCAGAAGGCACAACTCATGCCAAAGTCACTCTTGCTTCTCTCATGAACCCAACTCAGTGAATGATTTACATGGTAGGTTACTACACAAATATCCAACAATTTAGCTCAGAATAAAATAATAGCAGATCCATGGGTACAGCATTAGTTTAGATGGTCTCAGGTAAGAAGGACTGTATTGAGTTCAAGCAGCATTTGGACAATGCTCTCAGGCACATGGTGTGATTCTTGGGGTGTCCTGCACTGTGCCAGGAGTTGGACTCAAGGATCCCAATGGATCCCTTGTAACTCAGCATATTCTATGATTCTATGTTTCTATTCACACTAGACAGATTTACATGACTACACAGCAGAATTTTAGGGACCATTCCCTATTTGACCATCAATTCTTATTCTTAAGAAAGCAGAAACATACTGTGTTTCTTTCCAGTTATGCATGGCATTATAGCAGTTACTACAAAATATGAGAAACCATCAGTGACAAAGTCATCATATGATTGCAATTACTTATGATCTGTGTCACGGCTCCTGGAAAAATTCCCGTTTAAAAGTCATTACAGCAACCTTTGCAAAGTGGTGGCTGGTATAATTTTCCCTAGAAGGAAGTTGTTAAGAGCTGGGTTGCTGCTACAACCCATCAAAGTGGGAGCAAGATGCCTGTGGTGATCTGTGAGCTCTGCCCCCACCACTTGACTTGCACTGGGATCAGACACAGAGGTGAAGGACACAAAGCCATTCCCTCCCATCCGGGCTGCTGCAAGGACAAGCTCCCTGTGCACAGCTGAGACAGTGCCCTCCTCTCCTCAAGTGTGGGAATGTGCCTGGTACTGCTCCACAATCCCACCACAGCTTCATCCACCTCTTCCTGTCTACCAAGAGCCTCTTCCCCAGACTTTCTATATGCTACCAGACAGCCAGAAAGGCAGCTGGCCACACTCACTTCATGGAAGCCCAAGCAGGAAAACAGCCATCACTGTTTTTCCTCTCCTTTTTTCTCCAGCAATCTGCAGTCCCTCAGGCATTCGGACCTTGGGAAGAGATGTGAACAACCTGTTGTGGCTGCAGGAGGAAGAAAGAATGTGGAACTGCTTTCCTGTCCATGGCATGGCAACATGGTCAATAGTGTTTGAAGCCACAACTCAAACCCAGTTGGTTAAAAGCACATTCCTCTAAACCACTAGGTTATGTATGTTCTTGTTCGGGGAATCCAGTGTCTCGCTTTAGGCCACTCAGACAGTCTTGTACCATCATGTTCTTTCTTAAAGACTGAGAGCTGTGCCTGTTTCATCAGCTGTTTATAACACGATGTTCGCATGAATCTTTTTCTCAAAACCACAAGGAGCTTTGCTGTACCTAAGTATGCAGAACACCAGCCAAATACATGCTTACTGAAATAAGGATTTTACAGGATTTCCCATAATGTACTGGGAAATACCAGAGAGGTCCTGGCATTTTGTTCCATCTCTTTGAAGTGGGTGTTTAACCTTTTCCACAGTGACTTTTTTCAAGTTTCAAATCCACCAGAATCATACCTCTATGATTCTATACATCTAAAACTCATTCCCTTGCCTTCTATTTTCAATACTACACTGTGCATAAGGGTATAAGCAACCTGGTCTAATGGGTGGCATCCCTGCCCACATCAGGGCAAATTGGAATTAGGTTATTAGATTAACTGGATGAACAAAAGGATGTTTAAAGTTCCTTCAAATCCAAGCCATTTTATGATTCTATGATTCTACTACCCTAGCTTGATTCTTGGTTTTCCCAAAATAAATGTTTATCCAGCTACTTCAGTCCCTTTAAAATCTGATTTTTCTACAAACAGCATGGTTGTCTGGAAAACTGCCGTTTGTTGTTTCTTTCATTGTTTTCTCTACACAAGAGACTGCATGAGTTGAAGAGGTTGAGAGGAGAGGCTGTGGTGCTGTTCTGACTCTGAGCTGTCTCTAAGCTCTCAGCACTCTGCCAGAAAGGTTTGCTAAGCAAAATGGAAATTGAAAAACAGAGGTCAGATAAAATAATATTCAGTATTGAAGTATGGTGAGATACAAGATAGGCAGCTATCCTGCATTTTTTAAAATATTACACTGTAAAATATTTCACCTGAGCACAGGGAAAGCACAAAGGATAGTTCAGATTAAAAGCCATAAGGTTCTGAAAAAGAAACAAGAATTTGAAAAGATGGATGCCTTGAGCACAGTGTGGGGAATGGGAAGAGAATGACATTGTTATCACAGCCTCGTGAGGGACAGGTGAGAGCTCTCCACTCTCCTGGCAAATGTTCATGTTTTTCCCAGAGAAGGAAAGACTGACAGGTCTGAGGGATTTTACTGTGCTCAAGTTGAAAAACACAACATTATCATCTGTTATTCACTCTGAAGCCACCAGGAAAGCAAGACACTGTGCAAATGGGAGATGACCTGGACATCCACATCTGCCTCTTCAAAGGCAATGCCCAAAAGGAAGGAAGTGCATTTTGTTAAGAGGATGAACAGCTAGGTCTTCCCATTGAACTACTTTCCATTGCGACCTCGGTCTCCACGAAATGAATTACACCTCTTCTGATAAGTACTCTCACAATGAATGTGATCTTATCAAAACTTCCTGTCATGCAGCAGGAACTTCCTTCATTACCACTTCAAAGAGTTTACCTTCCATTTACAAATTATATGATTTTGGGTCAAGTTTACTGCTACATGGGAAAAAGCCTCCCTTGAAAAATTTTTTATGATTTAATCTACCTCACATGAACTAAGATCAGTGTGGGCTGAAGAAAGATCAGGGCGTTTTTCTTAAAAGAAAAATTAAATACACAAATTAAAATTGAGATTGCAGAGGACATTGCCTTCCAAAGAATAAAGCATGTAACACTGGAAAAAAGCAAGTGAAAAAGTTCATTTACTGAAACTTAAGTCTCGGGAAATGAGAAATTCTCCAGCTAATGTAAGAGGACAGCTCAATTTTCTACATTTTACTCTCTTCAGGGCAGAAAAAAAGCTCCTAGAGAGACACAATGTTCCTATATGTGGTGTGATCTCAGGGAGCACTCTCAGTACATCAGTGTACCAGGACATCTTGGAGAAGAACCAGCTCATGACACCCAGGGAAAGATTCCCTGGAGGTGAAGATCTTCACCTGTCCCAAGGACAAACACAGCCTCACTCACAACAGCAAAGCTCCTCTCTCCTGTCAGTGAAGCTCAAGGGGGAGGAACAATCATTAATTAAAATCTTGATGAATGAGGCTCTAGAAATTTTTGATCATAGGCAACAAATGCCAAAATGCTGGTGAGGGGAAGCAGAAAAGAGACATTGCTGTAAGGACAATACCAGATATCACTTATTAAAGGGTGCTCTGGTCATCAGTAATGACATTTTTGTGACATCTCACTTTTTTCTTGTCTCCATAGGGAAGGATGTGTTATACCAGCTGGAAGCTGCACTAACACAGTCTTCATTTCAAAACATTCCCTTGGAAAACTTTGTCAAAGGAAAACCTAGAAAAAGTTGTTCTTACAGGAACCAGTCCACTTTATATTACAGGTTCTTTTTCTTTATAGCCAGATAATTCCTCCCAAGGAGTTACCAAGGTATCATTCACAGATGACATACTGAAACACCATCTGTCTACCTGTCCTCTCCATTCCTCCTTTTTAGCTGTGATCAGACCTGTTAAAGCTGCATTTACTTGAACAGGTGAATGATTACAATCTTCTGCACCGTTGAAATAGCCTGAGGACATTAAACGCATGCTGCAGATTAAAATTAATGATGACATTTCAGCTGCATGGTATACTTTAAAATAATTTCCAAATACTTTGCATCTCAGTTGGGAAATTTTATTAAACAAATTTTTATTCATTTCTGAGCCCAAAATTGAACACATTAAAAGGGAGAAAGAGAGATGAGGTAAAGCCATGTCAGCAATAAATTACATCAATTTCTTCCTCTGTATGTATCTTTCTCTTCAGATGTCACTGTGTTATGTCAATCACCACTTCTTACCTGGTACATTTACAACCTGACCATACCTTGGAATTTCATTTTACAACATAGTTTAAGAATCAGACTATAGTGTAGCCTACAAACAGAGTAGTTTCTGCCCCAAAGTAGTTCTGCCCAGAGTCAGTTTCTTATAACTTTGCCACATTTCAGCATTTCAGACTAAAATTTCATTTCTTTGGTTTGCCTCACCCTTATTTAGGGATGGAGAATGCAGAAGGGAACATGTTAGGCAAAAGAATGCTTTTCCCATGTTTAAAAAAAATCTTCTAATTGTCAGAGGAGGGGATGCCCAGTTTTCAGAGTAAGACATAACATTTGTTTGAAAGAAGGTATATCTCTTGCAGTCTCTGAAAGCAGTAGTGGCCCTCTAGGCTGCAAGAGAAGCACCCTCTAAAG